GAATACGAGGGAGAGAGAATGACAAAAGCCGTCAAAATAATTGCAATTGGGTTTAATTTCGCTCGCTAACATGCCTCCAATTAATGCAACAACTTGCCTGACATGATAATAAACACAATAATACGATTTACAAGTAAATAACTACAACTTGTTGTTGTTTGTTGCCTTTGTGTGGTAAGAATGACGATGATGCCTGCAATGATGATTGTCTGGTATGTTGTTCTATTGTGTATGTGTTATATAGTTTTGCAACAAGTTGACATGCGGTTACAATTTTATTCACATAATTTCTTTTATTATTTATTCCTTGAATATTTTCTTTCTTGCTTCTCTTTCGTTTCATTTCTTTTTCATTTTTTTTTTATTTTTTTTTTATTACACTTTCGTGCATGTTGTTTACAATTTGCTCGAAGGAACTTTCATTATCTTTTACAAACATTTTTCCTTATACCCTATGACACATTGTCCTCATCAAGACGTACAGAGTAAACACGAACGTCTTCTTTACTTGTTCACTTTTATTTGTTTATTGTTATTGTTAGCATTAGTGTTATGCATGCCTGATGACGACATAATTATGCAAATAAATAAATTTACGATATTTTCTATTAGAGCATGACAGCCCAAACTTATTAATTTATTTTCGTTAACATTTTCAATTTCATTTTTGTTAGCGAAGATTCTTCCATTCAAATTACTTAAATAAATTAAAATATGAAATTAATTAAATAAATTTCTTGTCCATTTTCTTATGCAAACTTTCATTGATTTTGCATAGCTGTACTAATGGTTTTAATAAATAATTAAATAAAATATGATTTGATATGACTTCAATATTAAACTCATGTTCTATCGACATATTTAGTTAACTTGATCTAACTGAATTTAAATGAAAAGCGCGACGAAAGCGGATAATTTAAGAGATTGTGCGTTTAACAGATCGCGATAGTAATTCTTCCTCTATATCTCATTTTCCAACGCGCCTCCCCCTTGCTCTGTGTGTCTGCGTCTCACTGTTCTTTTTTACACTCTTTCTGAAGAAACACAGCTCTCGCGGTGAAGAAGTCAACGACAGGCTTGACCGACCACGGTAGTACACGTTGATCATTATCATAAATCTGTATATACTTTTGTTCACTTAACAACCCCGTAAGATAAATTTTCCTTAAAGCAAACCAGATATAAGAGGATTATTTTGGACTTAAGAAACAGTCGCTGTGCACAGTGGCTGATATGTTTTTGCGAACTTTGAATAAGTTAATAAGGACTTGCAATTGCTAAAAATGTTTCCCGCTTCCCGCTTTGTAGACATGAGCTAACACGCTACGGGTGCTATGACCTTATTCAGATGTCTGATGTCAGATGTCATGGCGCCTGCTAAATTGACGAGCTTCCCCCCTTGGATTTCTTCTTAATGCTTCTTGTCTAATGCATGTAGCACCAGCGTTGTCCAACGATGCGTTTCCGATGCAGCCGTTCTCGTTACACTCTACAGGAATTGTATGCATTTTGTAAGCAGTTAATTTTAGTTAGGTATTTTTTCTAGATGAAATCTATAATATGAAGAATATTGGATTAATTGCTTCGTCTGTGCAATGTCAGTTCTTTCCCCAAATTTTTTTTAAGCCGATCTTGTTCGGTCAATGATACCTTGGGATATGATAAAATCACTCGACATTTTACACATTTTGGTAAAAAATTATTGGGATCTTCACGGTATATCGGTATATGCATCCTCCATTAATTCGAGACGGTGCACACTGTATATCGTTTAATAACTGACAAGCTTAACAGGGGGAACAATTAAATTGCTCTCAAAGTATCGTGGTTGCCCCTTTTCTTACCGAAAAGCTGTTATGTTAATGGTTCGGTGCCGGTAAATAGCACAGTACCAAGGATGCCTGCTTCGAAATTTAGTTCGCATCACTGTATTGGAGAGGAAAGGATGATTGATTTTTGAAATGATCAAAGAGTCGCATTGACTGCCTGTGTATAGGAAAGCACGCTAGTTTTCCTATTTATCCGTGCACCGACCTTTGATTAAGAAATTCTAATAGTAATATGCTTAAAAGTATAAAGAAAAGTCGCATAAATTGCGATCTTTGATCTTTAACGAATAAAGTTTCCTACGCACATACTTGTGAACGGGAATTTAAAGTTCACGAATTGAGTCCTTAAAAAAAATAAATAAAATAGTATTTAAGTCACTTCTCATTACTTCCAATTTTTTATTTTTTTTTTGTTTTTTTTGGAAATGTTTTTTGAGCAAAGTTTTTAACCAACAATTTTTGGTTTTATATTTAGGGTAAACTTAACCATTAAATTAACACGAAATGTGTTTTTTTTTTTTCGTAGGAATGCTTGTGCGGAAATTTCCTGTATACGCACAGAAAAAATACCTGTGGCAAGTAGATAGAAGATGGCGTGGAAGGTGGTGAAAACAAGGAATATCGATTGGTTTTATATAAAAGTTCTACGGAAACTAATACAGAATTGGAGCAAAGAATTTAATGTGAAATACTCTAATAGAAGTTAGTTTACCAATAGTTTTTTTTTTTCACTATATATTTAGAATATTTGTCTTACCGTTTTCTCGCTTCGCTTTACCTGATATAGAAGTTTAATGTGCTCATATTTAGTAAACTTATAAAGTTTTTGATTAATGCAGAACTAACTATTCACGTTTGCTTGAACACTAAAGGAATATATTTTTGTTTTTTTAGAGAATTATGACTTTCATAATATAAATTAAGTGTGCGTTTCTATGAGTATTGTTATGCATCGAATATCAAAAGGGAAATAATAGATACCCTACAGCGCTATGCTTAATGCAGTCATTCATACAAAGGCATTCCAAGATAAAGCGTTGTATGAGAAAGTATCCCGATCCAAATCATGATCAATGGCGTTCGTCCTTGGAACAAAGTACGTGGGTTCACCAAGGTTCAAGAGCGCATGACAAAATTTGTTAGCCGTAGATGAAACACGAGGGCACATAAACCGACATCAGACGACAAGTTTAGATTGATTCTGAATCGATCGTTATAATGGAGGGTCAAGTGACCTGAGGAACTATCGTTCTCAAAAAAATTTTAAACAGAGAGAAATTTTTTTCAGTTTTGTGCCCTATAGGGATACCAATTGCTTTATAGTATATATGAAGAATTCAAAACTTTTCAAGAGCTGTGGCTATGTTCCCTACGAAGACGGATCCTTTTTTATTGACGATCAATCCTTTATCGATTAACAACCAAACAACAAATTATGAAAACATTTAAAAATTCGTGCAATTTGCAAAGTTAGCTAAATTTAACAGAAACATTGCATTTGAGTGCAACCAAGATTTTATTAATTCCAACCACAGAGAGAGAGGGAAAGGAAAGCTTTTGTAAACATTTTACAAAAAATTGACCTCATGTCCTAAATTTGCTCATTAGACAATTTTACGAACTTTTTTTTTCAAGTATTTCATACCTTCTCTTTCTTAACTTCCTTATCATCGTAGATAGCTTAAGATATTTACCTGCTTTGCTTTTGCTATTTCAAGACTGAAGACAATGAAATTGCATTTTTCAGAAAATTAAGAATTTTAGAAAATTTTGCTTGAGTTCTTACTCAATATTATCCGACGTGAATGAATCTATCTTTTATTTGCTCTTAAACTTTCATAGTTGAGCCTTGTCTATAAACAGGTTTTATAAAACCTAAAAACGAACCAAATCAACATAATTATGTAAGTGTAAGTGCTAAGTGAACTGATCTATTCTGCGGGAAGGGAACTTATATACCAGAAAAGACTTTTTAAAAACAAGTTTATTTCTTGATGTTAAAAAATATTCTTACTATCGCTACGAGCAATACCGCAGTCCCCTAGTAGAAGTTCTAAGTCAAACTTCTTCTCTATCCGTTTGTCCTGTTGTGCCTTTTTTCACTGTTACGAAGCGGCAAGTTTTTTTGTAGAATGAAGAATCCGAGATATATACTCTAGATTTATGGGATGAATGGGTTTGATAAGTCCGCACGCAAGCTTCTATGATGATAAATATGCGAAATAAATCTTTCCACGATAAAGTTGTACTTGTCTCCCCAACTATCTTTTAAAAATATGATAATAAAAAAATATTTTTACTAGTTTACCGAGTCTTAGGTCGAGCTTGCTTTTTCGTCCGTTCGTCCTACTGGAGTTTTTTTTGATTTTTCAAAGTTGGAAAACTTTATATTAGAAAGCAAAACTCGAGATGTACATTCTTGATTTAATTTAAAATACTTTTATTAGGGGACTAGACTTAATAAGTCTGCCCGTAGTTAGCCGAGATGAGAAAAATTAAGAAAACATATATCCATAGCACCGATATATCCATAGTCTCTCCAAATACCTTTGAAAAATGTCACTTTTTAAATTCAATGTAAACCTTCAGGACTACCTATCCTGAACTCTATAAGATAAAAGCTAAGGATGCAACTTATTAAGAAAAAAAAAGTAAGAAAGTGAAGAGAAAAAAAATTTTTATATATAACATAATGTGGTTCTTAACTTCTTAATTATACGCAATTTTACAGACAGTTGAACACATTGGTTGTTAATGTTTCATGGCATCGGAAGAAAGCGATTTCTTTAACACTTTGACTTTGCCTCTTTTTTCTTTTAATTATTTGTAGTGTTTCAATTCAGTTAACTCCCTTGTGTAGCCGATTCGCAGCTTTGCCGTTGCTGTTGGCGATGTCGTAGTTTTCGAGTTTTTCCAAGGTTACCCTTTTGGTTTATTTTAATTTAATTTGCTGTGGTTTATCATTCTTATTTATGACCTAGAAAATGTCATTCTCTCCCGGATGCGACATTTACGTTAGTACAAAGTTGTTTTTTTTTTGTTATTTCAGCTTGAAAAATCCGTTCTTATCAGTGGTTGGTTGGTTATATTTACTTTTCCGTTTTTAATTCTTCTTCTTTCCTTTACAACATTTTGATGATTTTTTTCGTCTATTTGTTTTTCTTAATACAGATGGTCACACAGATGCAGAAGTGCAACTAAGAGTACCCAGATATGTAGAACGTGGTAGCAGTGCTACGTTGGAATGCATACATGACGTAGAACCCATCGTATTGTTTAAGGTGAGTTGTTGCAAAATTTTTTATTTTTCCTAAGCTCATTCTCAACACATGATGTAGCCTTTGCAGAGCTATTCTAAAAGAAGTAAGAAAATCCATCATCGTTGTCCTAAAAAAGACAACAACAAAAGCAAAACAAGCAGATTATTATATGCTATAATATTGGATGGATGAGCACGGATGATTTTTCGCTTTTCAGCATAAAAATGAAAGTTTGTATGGAATATGTGTTGTACTTAATGAGTAAAAAACATCAAACGCGTCAAGTAAAGGTGTTCACAGTTTTTGTTGCATAGATGTGGTGTTTGATCGATTTGGATCAACTCCGAAATCTTCCGCAAATTCACACTCAATATCGTAAGTTTTGCGAACGGGACAATGTTTGTCGTATATATTACGGAGTTGGGCAGACGAATAGACGGACGTGCTTAAGTGGATTTCGAATTAAAAACTATCCTAGAATTTATATACACTATGAGATTTTTGAAACTTGCTTTTGGGCTTTATGAAGATATTGAACAACAAATTAAATTCTGATACACTATAATATTGGGTATGCGTGCTTATATTTATGCAGGTACTACAGCATCGACAATAAAATGCGCCTTAAAATTCTTGTAGATTTACCTCCTAAGCCAATTTTTTATTTCTTTTAAAAACAGAGGTGATTCCAGTTTACGTGGCGGCAGTGCCTTTTCAACGAATTGGTCCGTTTTCAATACCAATTTGCCTTCTGGTATTTTTGACAAGTTCGAAGATGATAGCTTGATTTTTGCGGCCGGGACACTGTTTACAACAGACATTACGCAGACACATAGACCGACATGCTTAAGTCGGCTCCAAATTTGATGCTGATTAAAAGTACATATACCTTATGAGGTCTGTGAAGCTTTCCTCTGATCGTTACATGAATATACCCTTCATCCATCGCTGTTGGGTATAATTAGTGATAATGACAGTCAAATGAAAATATTCCTTATATAAATTTCTTCAAATGTAGGTAATGCATGTGTGTATAAATATGCGCGTCAGGGATTTCATATACTTTATATAGTTTCAATCACCATGAGGAGCGAAATTAATTTGAAAATGTTTCTATGCCGGTGATTTCGCTTGTTGCGAACTCAAATGCGGACTTCTTGTAGGGGAAAAAAGTTCTACCGCGAAGTCTTACTAATTATAAAGTAAACTTGAAACTCATCAAGATGCGTTCATTTGTAGAGCTTTTAGCTTAGAACTATGATTTAATAATCGCTTCTTGTCAAGACAATTTACTAATTCCTAATTGCAATCCTAAGACTTGGATCCAATCTAAAACTATATATGAATGTGTAAATATCGTCAACGGTTGTCTACGAAGTGCTCTCAAAACGGGCATTGCTTGAAAGACATACGTCGCGAGACGAGAGAATAAACAAACGGTCTATCGAATGATTTCATCTCCGCGCTTTTTTGGAATCGAATATTTAGCGGAAGGTATGAAGGTATTGCATGTGGCAAAGTTGTAGATAATGGACTTTAGAAAGATCCAAGTTTCCTTATATTGATCGATGCAGATCAATTTACGCCTGTCTGTCTACATGTCAGTTTGTCCACCTCATTCGTATCCAGGTATACCTGATTAATGAAATTTGCTATACTGTTACGTCTCAGCGTAAAGTCATGCCTTATTCAAAGAGGGTTGGATCGGAAGGGCATTGCCCTTATAAAACTCGACTTAAAAAGTCATCATATGATAAAAAATCGCTTTCTCGATAAAGATCAGTGAAAAAAAACTGTTTCAGCACATTAGAGAATGTCGAAAACCTTGGAAAGAATGGGACGATTTATTGACTTCTCTCCCATATACAAGTTCTACAGAAAAAGGTGAGCTACTAAAGGTACTTAACCCAAATTTTAGGCACATCACTATACAAATTGGTCTGATAGAGTGATTCGGCAGATAAATTACTTGCGGATCCCCTAGCATATAATAATTCTCTTTGTGGCAACAAAGAGTGATTTTTTCTTATTATACACTGAAAATAGTATCGCATAGTCAGCTTTAAGCTCTTAAACTTAAATCGCTTGGAATGATAATATGCGAACAACATTTTTTTGCCAGGTAACGCTTAAGCACCTGTGACTTTAAATGCTTTCGTTGGGACACCTCCCGACAATTTACTTTGCACTTATATAGACAAGTGCGATCCATAAATTAGTATTTATAGGTGACTGTAACTTTTACCATTTAGTGTAAATGTATGTGATTACCTCAGCAAACGAAAGTGAAAAAAGGTGTTTGAACACGAACAGCTGTGGTTATGTTCGAATGTAGTCATTATCTAATAAATAATTCAAACAGCAATGAAACTTAAAGAAGCACTCAGAAGTACGGTGTGGCATTTTTCCACGCATTATTTATGAAATTCTTTCCTCAATATTCTGAATATTAAAGATTCGATAACGAACAATATCGTTGTTCATCCCTCTCCCATTCTCTCCCTCCCTCTTAAGTATTATCTTTTTAAACGTTTTTTTTTTTATTCTCTTGCTTTTGAAATTTGTCTGTCACACACAGAAATGTGGTTAAATAATATATTGTTGTTGGTGTTCTTGCTTTTGTCAATTTAATCAATAGAATGGTTTTGTTTATATCGAAGGAGGTGTGCAATACGAAATGAAAATCTAATAATCTGAAATATGTTGTAATTGAGTTCCTTCCACAGACAGCTGACATGAAAATGTCAATCATTGGCTTTGTATAAACAAATATAAATTTTGTACCTTTTATATATGTTGTCAATTTGTTGAAATGCGTTCAGTCTTGGACTTCGAGCACAAACACACAAAACAAAAAGTATATATATATATAATAATAGTTTTTACGATATCAATTTTCGTCATCCTTTTGTTCTGAATTAATTCCTATTTCACATTGAAATAAACCATGGGATGTGGTTTCGTTTCATTCATTAGGATGACAAGTTTCATTAGAACAGATATAACCTGCCAATGCGCAATTGCGTTTGTATCAAAATTTACTTTTCCTATTTAAATTAATGGCGTGGAGAATTCATCAATATAACCGAAAAGTGAAGATATTAAAATTTTAGGAACCCTATCGGAACTGCAAATGAGACCATATTGCGTTTAAGATGAACGCTTGTTAGTCCTTCTTAATAGAGGGGATTTAGGAGGTAGCCATTACCAGTACTATTAGGTTGGCTAGAAATAAATCTCTTGTTGATCTGTTCGCACCCCAAACATGCTTTTTAGCATATGAGTGAATAATTTTCGATACTGACATATAGACGTCGTCTATGCCAAAAAGTCGCATTAATGTTAGAAATTAAAGCTTAACCCGTTTGTTCATTTGCTCGCGAATTACAAAGGAAACGTTATACAGAAAAACTCCAAATTTTGTTTGCTCCTGATAACTTGAACAGCATTACAACTATCCTTCTTCCTTGGTAAGACCAGAAAATATCCCTCCATACACTTTGGTTATAAGGATAAACTCAGAGACCACATTTCCCACGTCGTTCATGCTTTTTTCTAATTCTCTGTCCTCGACTATGTAAAAAATTAGAAAAAAATTGACCACATTCTTAGACATGTAAATTTCTATTATTCGGGCAGTAAATGATTACTAGGGAGTCATATAATAAAAGCAAACAAAATACCTTGTAGCTATGTAGTAGACGTAGATCAATTCAGGTTATGATTGTGAATCGATTGGTACAATAAAAGGCGAGTTTATCTTAAGCCCTTCTGCGTATTACATGCGTGCGTACTAACTTAAACACTCTGTACTACAAGTGGTTTAGGGTTTAAAAAGCATCGAAATATTAAAGAACCCGTAGGCTGTATCACTTTTCTTTCTTATTTACGAGATCGGGAGTTGTCTTCTCCAGTTTTTTATATCATTACGTTCAAAATTTCGAAACGCTACTTATGAAGTAAATATTAATCCTAGTGATGCAAATTAGCAACGAACAAATCCCAAGTGAAGAAGCAGTTGTTAGTTAGGGAGATGGTAACAAAAAGACTGCTAGTTTATAAAAGCACTTGCCCATATGTTTAGCCGAGCAGGTAAGATTTGCGAACAGCAAGTCAGTGTTCACGCAGAGGTAAGTCTCTAGCGCGGTACAGTTTACTGCGATCGTGGCGGTGATGAGCGAGCAATAAAGGCATAATACTTAGTGTTTGGGCGAATGCATTGGGCTACGGTCGCCACCTCCCTATCTCTCTCACCTTCCTGACTTCCCGACTCACCATGCTCACCGTATAACCGTCGTCGTGTTATATAAATAGGGAACATCATTGCTCATTAGTCATATTAGAAGCAAAAATAACGAAATCTTACCAACTTTTGAAATTATGTTATGATAATTAGACATTACTAGGATAATGGCGAGAATCGGTCGTGAAATTTATTCTTTGTTCACTTATTGAGCAGCATATCGTATATGAAAATTATTAAGTTGTTTAGGTTCGACGTTTTACTAGAGGGCATATTCACGTAAACGTAAACGCGCTTTCTTCCTGCAACATTTCAATCAATGCGTAGCGAAAGAATCATTTGCACTTGTATGTACACTTGCTTCCTACTTTTTACACCCGTTTCAATGTTTTCTATTTTTTCAGGTGTCTTGGTTTCGAGATGAGGTTAAATTTTTTGAATACGTTAAGGGACGTAAACTGCCGTTCAAAAATTTTACTTTAGATGGCGCTGACATTGACGTAAGTAAATGAAGCGAATGCATATTATGTTAATTATATATATTTTTCCATAATGAAGTGGAAAATTTTCCATACAAACATTGTAAAGTGAATTTAATTGAATAAGTTTTTCATTCTAGTGGGAATATTCTAATGAGTCTCAGGTGACTCTAGCCAATGTCGATTTTAAATTGTCCGGACAATTTCATTGTGAAGTATCGATGACTTCACCATTGTATACAAAAGCATCGAGCGAACATTTAATGAGCGTTTTTTGTAAGTAGTTCTTTAGAAAATATATATATATTTCTTACAACAGATGCATATGCAACACGAAAAAAAAAAAAGAAAAAATGCATTATGTTATTACATTTAGAAGTAATATATTAAAACGGAAATATTTAAAAAGAAATTTATCCACGCATATACATATATTCTATATATATTCTATATATATATATATATACAGTACCGCAAACAGGCCCACCGGTGATTAGGTTTCGCAAACGCAGCCCTGTGGCAATAGGTGAACGTTTATTTGCACTTTGTAATACAACACGTGCACGGCCAGCGCCTCACATAACATGGCTGATAAATGGCAAAAAGGTAGGATCAATAACCAATTTAATTTATTTACCATAAGCTAAATGCAAACACACACACATATATCTATATATATATATATATATATATATGTATATGTAAAAACTATTATCGTTGCATAGAAATAATATTTTACTTTAGAAACGATTACATACTTATATACATTTATACATACATTGAATGACAAGAGGGTGTGATCAAGCGGCTGACTGATAGTATTTGTGATTATTGGCCGCCACCACATTGGTTTCTAATATCCGTTATATAATGTTTCATATCCGTTTAATACATACATATATATATATATATACTAACCACCGCAACCGTCTACGTGTATATGTAGATTATTTGGTCAGGGTTAGCCAATGTGTTTGTACCGTTTATTGCTAACCGTTTATTTATAATGCATTTTAAATTAAGGTCAACACGCGATTTTTCTTTGTTTACACACACACATTCCCATGCACATACCCACTACCACTGCCACTACTACTACTACTACTACTACTACTACTACTAACAACGCTTCATACGTAACATATACGTGTACGCGCGCAGCAATGACTCACAAATATTTAAACTCATTTGCTTGTTGCTCACTGAAGTATTTATGCTATTATTGTTTTCTTTTACCTTTTTTTTTTTTTTTTTTATTTTCCTCAATGCAATTTCATTTCTATCATTTGATACATATGGGTATGTGCGCGCGTGTGTGTGTGTTTAAATGCTTCTGTTTGTTTGCAGTAATATTAAATTTCAGATTAATTCCCCAAAATAACATAAATTTGTAAAACGAATCATTGCATTATTTGGTTAGTAACGATTTTTAAATGCACAGCATCTGTATAACGCGATTTTAAGGCATTCCCTCAACGAACTAAACGAGGTATTCACAACCGTTGTTTACTTCTTCATCCAACGGATTTCAGGAAAGTACAATTACGGATTGATTATTAATGTTGTTCTTTATATTACTTGAAATAACGATCATAAGGTTGCGTAAGAGAAAATGGAATTTACTGTCAATTTTCACTAAAATCAATTGATTAAAATTGATTTGAGTTAGATCTTATAAAAATATAGCTTAGATTTCAAGAGCTCCATCCAGCGAAAGAGCGAAAATCATGTGTTTGTGGTTGGACCTTATAATACAAGTTCCTGATTTTATTACCTTGTCCCTTGAACTTAACACAGATACGCAATTTCTACATATTGGCTCAATATATTGTAATACAAATTTATAGACTTCGTCTACATTTAGTTGGACTTCCCAGTTCTGACAAGTTGGTCGTGAAGACAAACAGACATTTTGTGGCCGGAAATTTATTTGCGATCTTAATATCTCTGTGACCTTGATATAAATTTCTAAGTGTTATCAAAATAAGTAAGACCACTATACTAAGTCACGGCTCACCATTAAATATTCTATATCATCCTACACTTATCCCCCATATATCGACTTTTCAAGACAGGACGTTATATGGCAACTGGTCAAAAAAGTGATCCGATCCGAACCATTTTTCGAGCCATGTACAAAATTTTATCAAAACCTGCGACTTGTTGGTTGAACATGAGATAACAGACAGACAGAAGACAGACAGAGAGACAAGCTTAAAATCTTTCAGAAACTGAGTCTGAATCGATTCGTGTCTTAGATTGGTAGCTAAAATAAGTTTAGATTTAATCAGAAAGAGATTCTGAAAGTGATTCTAAATCGATTGGTATGAAAAAAGGGTAGGCCTCTCTCAAGTCCTTCTGGATGTTGCATACATTCGCATAAACTTAATATGCCCTTGTACCAAAAGTATTGTAGACTTCTTTGTTGACAACTAGAAAGTTGTGGAAGCAACAAAATGAGTCTTAACGTAAGACCTATAAGTCGAGTCTTGTATAAAAGATTCTTTTCCAATTTGTTAGGTTTGACGAGTTCTTTGTAACTGATAGATAGAAAGCCATACTATTACTATTATTAGCATAAACTGTTAAAGCACCAGCATCTCAAGCTGTTTGTTGTCTTCAATGAAAGCTCTACAGCACTTGAAATTTAAGCCCACGACCGTTGCGCTTTTAATCGAGATCGAGATAGAATGTATATGTATATATAGGGTGTAGAAAGAAAATATTTATATAAAGACGTCTCTATATTGCTCGCATTAGTGCTTCCGATAAATATTATGTTTTCGCATATCACTCCAAACGATGATTGGGTTTACCTTCCTATTTTCTGACGCGACTTTTTTTTATTGCGCGGTCGTCAGCAATTGTTAAAAAAAGAAAGTCTTCGTATTATTCTCCGCAGTCTTCTATATATCTTATTATTTTGATTTTTATATTCTGCTTGCGTTTCAATGCATTCGAAACGATCGTTCATATCCCACGACCGTTCATATCCCACGACCAAGAAGAATTCATCGGGAAAGTTTGGATATTTTTTGCTTGGCTTTATTGGTCTAGAACTTTGACTTTTTGCACAATCGATTTGATAAACTAATTGTGCCGTCCATTACGACCGCTGCGTTCGAATTATATAATTTTTCGTGTTTTATATCTGCTTGTAATCATCAACCATATGCTTGCAAAGGAAAGTGAATGCTGGTTAAAGTATATGAAAAATTAAAACATTTATTCCCTCTGACACATACAAATAAATAAGAATAGATTATCAGGAAAATTGAAGCGTTCATTGCGATACGATTGCCTTTGCATATTGTAATTACAACCAACTACCTGTTCCAAAATGGATCAAAAGAAGTAAAGAAAAAAATGTAAAATAAAAATAACGTAAAAAAAGGAAACAACAATAAACAAAACAATTACTGTTGTTCAAAAAAAAAAAAAAAAGTTTAAGCTTTGACATAATGTGTTTGTTTGCATTCGTAATTGAAATTAATTTAATGCAAGTTTTTATCCTGCTTGTTGCAATTAAAATAAACAAATTATTTTTTTTGTGAAATTTATTTCCTTTTTTTTTTTTTTTTTTGATTTATGTGAACAAAGGTGGACGAGAAATATGTACGCACACATCACGTTTATTCGTTGAATGGTAAAACCCATCGTCGCTCACAGCAACAGCAAGAACAAGAGCTGGAAGTGCTGCAAGCGAAACAGAAGAAAGAGCAGATGTCTAAAATGCCTGACTCTCAACCGTTTTACAGTCAGCAGCAGCAACAATACAATCACATATATCAGCTGCCATTTCATTTGCCCCATTTGCTAACCGACCGTTATGACAAAAGTTTGCGTTGGAGCGGCAATCGACCAATGGGTATGTAATGCAATTTAAGGGCACTCTTTGAATATACATATGTTAACACCTTTTTCCTACTTTCATCGATCTACATATGCATACATTTGTGTACTTATGATGATTAGCAAGACAAGACATTTGAATGTATTGTCTTTCCAGTAGTAAAAGTTTTCAACATTCTTAATATGTGCAAAGAAACAAAAGAGAAAGAAAAAAGAAAGTAAAAACCCTATTGTACGCTACACTACACACTACAATTATTCATGTATCGACTTTTCAAAATAAAGCGTTAAAAGGGAAGTTGTCGGAAAACCAGTCCGATCTGAATCATAGTCCATAACGTTCGTCCTTGGGGCGAAACACATTAGTCTACTAAATTTGATTAAATTGTCTGGGCTGTGGATAAACCACAAGAAAACAAGACGGACAGATGGACAGAAAAGCTTAGATATCATAAAACGTACGTCTATCTTAAATCTATTGATATTTGTTGCAAACATACGCAAAAATCTAATACGCCAACAAGCTATGCAGGGTACAACAAACTAATATTAAAATTATATAAGAAAATTGCAATTTTTTTGTGCACTTGTTTCATTTTGCGCCAACAGCTTAGAAGAGAAACATATGTTTCGTTACGACTCCAGCTCGATTTTCCATGGTATTTAGGTAAATAAATATAACGATTGATTTGACTGATCTTGATAGGTCCATAATAATCAAAAAACTAAAAAAACAAAATATTCTATCTACTGTGAATGGACCAAAAGTGCTTATGGATATACAAAGGAGAGCAGGTGCTGTAGTTGTATGTCGTCAATCGTTTGCTGACCAGCACCCTAAACGTCATCCTAAACACGACAGCGAAGAATGCACAGAAACCGAATATTCGACTCCTATAAGTGTTTATATCAATCCTTACATCGATTTCTATATAAACCTTTAAATTAGTAGGAGTAACATTTGAACAGATTAATATTCCTCTGAGTTATTGAAAATTTCACATGCAGGCGAAGAATATTAAAAAAAAAAACGAGATTCGTATTGATTTTCTCTCCCAATTGCTTTGAATGACAGATTTCGTTACTTTTCTTAAGTAAAATTTGGAATTTGGAGATAAGGGTTTCCTTTGGCAGCCGTCTTCGTCTCGGTGTGAAGTTTAAACTCACATGGTCGTAGCACAAGCTTTCTGGATATCCTCGTAGATCGTTCAAATCACATTCTTGCATTAACTTTTCCTATCAGTCTAAGGAGCCCCGCTAGAGACCATATCATAGCAGGAAATATTTTCCAGTGCTTCTGGCTTCCTTTTCTTTTTTCGCCATTTTGTTGCCAAATCTCGTTGAAAATGATGTAACATTCATCACACAGATGGCAGCAGTAAAGCTTCTTCTAGTAGACAAAGTAAAGTAAAGTGAGAATGTAAGTGTGTAATAAGCAGAGATTACCGTTGTTACCTTTGTGGATATTTTGGGTATCGGTTCTGTACAAAGTCTTTTTATGTGCACAGGTGTCTTGTTATGCGCTTTTTACTTATGCGCTTGCTCTCATGTAACTTATCGCGTTTATGAAGATCTTAAAGTGATAGAGGCAGATGGAGAGAGAGAGCAAGAGAGAGGCAGCATGTGCACATATGTACATTTTGAAAATACATTTATGTTGAAAATTACAAATTAAAAAATTTTTAAATGTGTCCACCAGTTAATTATTTCTATTATTTGAAAAGCACTTTCCCGCTGTTTGGCGAAACTTTGATATATTTTCTAAAAGAGATTTTCTTCGCTTCGTTTAATACGTTGTGAAAAGTCATCCATTATAGCTTTTAACGAACTCTCTGGATATTGTTTTTGCAGGTTTTTTCCTGCCGTCACCACCTGTCGCGCCAGAAAGGGGTTACTTGTATAGTCACAACTGTGTATAATTTCTTATCGCGGACTTTTCAGATTTTCAATAATATCTTCAAAATGACTTCACTGAGTCAATCATGCGTACTCCTCTCTCCTTAAAATGATTTTTCTTCCGTCCCGCTATCCTTTAATTGCGATGATACGCATTCACGATTCGTCCTAAGCTAGATGGGACGTTTTTTTTTTTTTCTTTCTTATTCATTCGCAATAAATTCATTCTTTTATATGAAATTGCAGATTTCTATCTTTAAACTGAAATCTGTTCTTTGATAGTTTAGGGCTTTGCCACTGTCACTGCTACGTTAACATCAACATTTGGAGGGATAAAAAAAAAAAAAAAAAAAAATGGAAAAGAAAAACCTACCAGCATAACGACGATGATGATGGCATTAACAGTGGATAAGTAGAAGCAAACAAAAGTAAAGTGCAGTTAGTTTTTCGAACAGCAATTGTTTGAGTAAATACCTATTAAAACATTTTTCTGAAAGCCTTTGCCTGCCTGCCTTTTCGTTTTCAAAAAAAAATTGTCAGCGCAATGCGGCACAAGACATAGAGAAGAGGGAAAATTAAAAAATCAGTTCAAGGGCGAATAAATGATCATCGCTGTACAACAATGGAAATCACTTAAGCCGGTTGCGCCAAATAAAATAAGGATATTACAAATAAATAATAATACATAGTAGGAGGCACAGCTGTGAAGAAGAAAATCTTCTGTCACTTTTCAAAAGGTTCACGCATTGGTGATCACGAAAGTGTTACACGTAATAACTATATAAATAGTATGATTAAGGCTCTTTTTTTAAAACGATTTGCGGCATGTCCTCCGCATCTGCCTAAGTAAGAATTCAGTGTTGATTAGTCATTTTACTTTCAATGGCTTACAAAAGTGCAACAGCGGGGAGTAAGTAACTAAAGTTTGTCTTAAGCTGAGAGAGGATTTCTCAGAAGAAATTCTAGGCTTATTTTTACTGGAACAGATCAAAAAAGAATTGACTAAAAGGGATCCAAATAAAAGGTATCCCTTACCCAAGATCTTTTTCTTTTTGTTTTCTTCTAATATTACTATTTCGAAGGATGTTCCCTACATGTGTACATGCGGTGACGGCGAAAAAGACGTGGGACAAGGGAGAAAGAGATAGAAAGCGACCACATTCGAGTTGGTGTGCGCCCGACCATTCAATTGTTATGTTTTTACCGACTTAGCACTTACTAGATAGCTACGATTAATTATAGTCTACTGCACTGAGATCCACGAGCACGGACTGGATTAGTCGCGACTTTTATCTACTCGGCTATAAGGCATCCCGAGTCTCTGATGTTCTCGATGGTGAAAGTTTAAAGGCTATATCCAATTACCGTGCAAAGCTGAGTAACATCAGCATCAAAAACCTTATACTTGGTCTTGCCACTCCTCAATTTTCCAACTCAATTTATAGGTAAATCAAATGTATGGGACATTTACTATTCGCGCCGAAATGTATATTTTACGAAAAGTTAAAAAAAAAAAAAAATGATTGATAAAAAAAAATTCCCTTTCGTTCATTGGTTTTCAACTCCAATTTGGTTCAGGACGTAAAAAAATATTCGTTAAAATTGACTGGATATAATTCATATTATTTATATCCGTTTACTGTGAGTAGTACATACGTTCTATGCGTACTGGCAAAAGTTTAAGATACGCCACTTTTGTTTTACCTTTGGTAACACTTAGGACCTTGAAAGCATTAAATACTAAATTGTTTGGTGAACGCAAGATTTTTCCTTTCTGGCCATTCCTCCATGTTTTGCTGTTGTAAGACAACACCTGGTCAGAAGGTAGAAGTAAGAAGAAGTCCTTGTAAGACGTTACAAGGAAACAGCTATAAACTATATGCTCAGGCCACGTATGAAAATGGTAGCGGTTCTATCAATTATCTAAATGGGGATATGTTAGTTTTATCTCAATCATAAGGTTACTCTTTCTCTTCATAATTTTAAAATATCCCGTTAAATGCAAACTCGGCAGAAAATTCTTAGTCGATTTAGGCATGTTCATCCGTTCGTTATTGATGCTGCAGCGTATGAATAAAGCCAAAAAAGCTACCTTTGATGGTATTCGGTCCAATGTAACCCGTCCACGATGGTTAAAATATTGTAAACGAGATAACATTGAAAGCATCGTTGCTAGTAACTCATTATCTATAGTTTCTCAAAGTGTAATTAAATGACGCGCATGCAATTCAAAGCAAAATGATGGGTATCTGAAATTTGCCTAAAGTCGATAGCTTTTTCTTATTTATTTACTTTTTTTTTTTGCGTAATAAAATTTAATTAAATCACTCTTCTCCTCTCTCTTTTCAAACGTGTCCTTTTTCACAAACAAATAAACATGAATGTGAACGAAATGCTCACGAACGTAGAGGATTTATCGGGCTTACATAAAGGCCACCATCACGATGGCCATCATCATGGCACAATATACTACAATAATCCATTCAGTGCACTGACCATCATGCATGATATCGATATTGATGATTATCATGAGATTCAGCACCGCAACTATGACAATAAACATATGGATACTGTCAAAAAACATTTCGATATGAAGAAGCACAGGTGAGTGAGTAATGGTAGTATAATAGAGAAAAAACATAAGAGCGCCGATGTAAGTATGTGAGTAATATAGCGAGATATGAAGAGTAGGCAAAAATGTAATCATTTTTCATTGTGGAGGTATGGTGGCGCTGATGCAATCGAAGCAAAAAAAAAAAAAAAAAAACAGTTGTGTATTAAACATTAAATTGATGCGAAATCAACAAGAAAAGAGAACAATGAAAACAATTCGAGCATTTATAAAATGCATAAATAAGTGAGTTTTTATTTTGAGTCGCATTTATTGACAGAAATTATATTATATTAAAGTGTTATGTGCTTGTAATGATAATAAAGTTTGTTTATAAGTGTTCCACTCAAAGGTAAAAACAGAGTCTCGGATAAAGCCGGCTTATATCTTTCAAATATTTGAACTTTTACTTTTTATTTATTTTGAATTGAACTCATCACACCTGTACTAGCTGGGGATGACAAGCGGACTTCTGTTTTATCGAGATTAAGCCGTCAATTGAAAAGAAAATAAAGAAAAATGCAAGTAAGATCATTACAGCTGAACAAGACTGACGTTGTGGTAACAATGGAACAAAAATTGCTTATTATTTTCATTATTTATATGGACACGAAGTGGCTCTATTTTCACTTATTGGGTGTTAAACACGATCGAAATTAACGCTTAAGTTTAACGCGGAGAGGAATGCACGTACATTCGTTGTTATGTAGATTATATGCGTGAGTTAATATATTTGTTAAAAATTCTTATGGTAAATATTTTCAATTTAGTTAATAGTATGGTTGCTGATGAGGAATAAAGATGTTTATCGATTGTTTTCCTTCTTTTTTTTTTTGCGGCACGTACACTACATAATAAAAAATTATAGGCATGTAACTTGTTCAGTCCCCGCGACTAGTATGTATACGTATGTACGTATGTATATACGAACACGGATTTTGCTCTTCTGAATGCTCAATATTTTCTAGTTATATTAAAATCATAGCTACAAGCAAAAGATTAAACCTGCCTTTGTTGTATGGAAGCATTTAAAATACCTTCAAGCGTTTTAGATCAACAAATCAATGGATTGCAAGCTAAATTGCCAAGTTTGGAGAGCTTAAGTTGAAATCTTGCACAAACAACGTTTGGTCTCTTTGGCTAATCAGATATTTTCTATTGAATTTTTGCATACAATTGATCAAAGAAGTTTAGTTAATATCCTTCTGGTCTTGTTAAACTATTTTAAATGCAATGATTTAACAAAATTTCATTTTCGTTATATAGAATTTATGCCATAACCATCTTTAAGGATGTTGATTACTGAACAAGCGAGTTCAGCTTAACCTGAAATTTGTCATGGCTTTTCCAGACTCCTAGAAATAGTGAATATCCTACACCATTTCGCCTAAAACCGTTGCCCATTCATTTACTTAATTATACTGAAAAACTTAAGATTGGATTTATTTACATGCATGAATTTCATGAAATCCTTCATATTAGACGGTACGCAAACATGAACGTGCTCTTAATTTAGAATTATTAAATCCGCCTGAGTGGCCGAAGGCGAGGTATCTCGACTAGCAAATCAATGGCCGTGGGTTCAAACCTCAAGTGCGGTAGAGTTGTTTAATAAAAAAGCCGATAGCCCTAGATGCTAATGCTTTAAGACTTTAGTCTTAGAATTTATTCTCTGGCTAAATTTATAATAATAATAATAATAATAATAATAATATTTTCATGCAAAGGCCTACTTTACCCGAAAGCTGGCATACGGGAAGATGTCCGAATCATCACATCTAAATTTAGCAAACTCAATTATTTTCCGAAAATGTTACTAATTTTAAGTTTTCGTCATAAAAAACTACAAATTAGACTTTCTCTCCCTATAAAGCCTTCATTTATTTACAATTATTTGAACTTGGTGAGAAACATTTTCACCAAAGATCACATAAGAGCAAATATAGGTAGGCAAGATATTAGTTAATTTAAGATAGCCTATATAACGTATTCAGCCAACTTATATAAGCACATAAGAATACAATTCAAACAGTAAAAATCTTATACAAAACTGTTAGGGCAGAGCTTTCCAGTAGCCGAGACTAGACATAGCGGATTTAGTTCACGAAACAACAAGCACTCTAAAATTATTAGATAATGTCATCGACAGCGGCAGATTGCGCGCATTAAAGGGCACTAATTTGATGCTCTTTAACGGGTCCGATATTCGACACGATTCAAAAGGCTCCTAATTATGTCTACGTTGATCAAGCTGTATGGTCAACGGATCCAACCCCAAATTCTTTAACGCAAAAGACCAGAATTGCTTATATGCAGTGGTACGCAAGATATATATCTACCTAGTCCAAAATCAGTGGGATTAATTTCTATGTTAATTTATTATTATGGACCAATTTTCATGACGAAATATTGCAAAATTAGACCTTTTTAGCATATAAAGAAGCAGTCTTCGTAGGAAGGGTTACATGAGAGAAGGTTGAAAAAATGGCGTCAAATGAACTAAGTCCACTAATTTAAAATGTCAAAGTATTATTACGCGACGAGTTTTGTCGAAAAATTTTGAAAATTACAATATTTACGGGAAGAAGTGAAAGAAGTAGACCGATCCGAACCATTTTCAATGCCGTTGGTTCTTGAGTCAAATCTTGTATCTGTTTGCCAAATTTCATTGAAATATCTAAAAAATTACGGCCTTTAGGTTGAACACAAAAGTACGTGGACAAGCATCGAGCGGACATATGGACATAAAAAAATTCACAATTATCTTCTGAATCGATTGGCATAGTAAAAAGTGAATATATCTTAAGCCCTTCTGGTTCTTACGTATGTCCGCACAAATTTCACATAGCCCGTACAATAAAGTAGTGTAGCGTATAACAATTGCACAAAAAATATGAAACTTGCACAAAAAAAAAGAAGTTCCCCTTGTTCTAATTTAAGTTTTAATGCCCTGTATTTGTAGTTTGGCACAAAGTTCAAATGCAAGGTAAAAACGATATAAATCGTATGTAGCATATATTGTATACACTTCAAATAATCTTCTTATGCTATTTGACAACACTCTACATAAGTGCAAGCTAAAAACCCTACTTAGATCCTATCCCTCCTTGAAAGTGCTTCAGTTTACTAAGCAGTTTACTAAGCGAAAAATTAAACTACCGGTTTGTCCAAAGCCCAATTTTCAAAGTGAATCCGATCTAAGTGAGCAAAAAAATTTTTTTAGACAAGATCAAATTTGATGATAAGGCAACGAGACTGACATGAATGAATCTTTTCGGTTTGTCAAGAATAAGTTAATAGGAATCGGAATATATGCATTGATTTTCCAGATCGAATATATCTGTTGCGATGGGTATAATTAAATTTCCCTCAAGACAATTCCAACGTCTTCTCTTGATCGAAGTTCCAAGATTTTGATGAATATATCGACGACAGACTTCGACAAAAATTCTCATGTCGTTCATGACTTCTAATCTTTTCCGGGTGTATTTCCAGTCATTCTCAAAACTTAAACGTAAAAAATGTAAATATTTTTCCCTAAGCAACTATGTACAAATCTCCGCTCGCGGCATATTGTTATCATCACTTTGGCATGCATGTGCCATTTACTTTAAAAATGACGTAAGTCTACTTTATACTGTATGCTGATTAAATGGTTTATTATTGCCGCCACTGCTCAATCGCCAAAGCCATCCATTATCGATAATCAGCTGCCATCACATTTCTACTGTGAATCGTTTAATCATTTGCAATAAATTTGTTGTGAAAAATTTTACTTGCACTCGTTACAAGACAAATACTTTTCCGTATTATTCATATAGTGTGTATTAAACCTGCATCATACCTTAGAATCTTGTCCTTTTTCCTATGTCAAAAAGTTGATGATTCTTCGTACAACTTTTTATACCAATGCACTAGTTATGGTACAAGAGAGTACCACAGGATGTATGCGACACCCAAGACGTGAGATAAGTCCACGTTATATTACGCCGATAGCTTCAGACAGTGACTATGTCGTCTCGTCTGTCCATCTTCCATATCTGTGTTCAACCTAGAATTTATAGCAAGGGTTTATCGTGGGTTCCTGCCTGAAAGGCTTAACCCCACGGTGGCCCAAGCCACTTTAAGCGTACTACGCCCCCTGGCGAGTTAGACAATCCCCACAGAGTAGGGGCCTAAACAACACCAGAGTCCAGAAGAGTTTATTGTGTATGGAACAATAAACCCCACTCTGGTCAGTGGTGAGGCCAAGCTGCAATCGACTGTTCCAGTTTGGCGAGGAACTTGCCAACCACAGCCACCACGAGTACTCCCCGAAGGGCCGCACCCAGGCAGTCAGGACTCATAAATTGATCAACGCTCGCTTCCGCCATGAGGCTTCCACGGCGCTGTTGATCAATTACCACCATTACCCGCAGGCATCCGTGACATATGTTTAAAAGTAAAAATAAGGCAAAAGGGGAAAAAGCCTTTCCGTCAAATCCCTTTTTTTTAATTTTTGCATGTATTAAATTAATTCTCGAGAGGGTTTTTATTAATCGGCCAAAGGGAAGGCCGTCCGTCAATTCCTTCTTAATTTCATTTTTATTTAACTGCTCAGTAGAATCTGCACAGCAGCCATATAGGCAAGACGAAGCCGGAAGATGTCAATAGGGGCAGCAGCAAAGTCCACCTCAACAACAACAAAAACAGCACCAAGGATTAGGATTCGCCGCCGGCGAAGAAGAATCTGCACCGGCGTATAATGTCGTACCTTGTGCTGGAGCTCAACGTGGAACGCTGGGTAGACAAGGAACATGTGAAGTCAACTATTTGAGGATGAATATTGTTCAACCTAGAAGTAGCAATTTGGTGTTTTGGACTATGGATGGACGCTATAGAAATGCTTTTTCAATCACTTCCTACATAAGGTCTTAGTTTGACAAGCCATTATATGAAAAAGTGTACAAAGCGATGTCGAGCGGTGGCCCACTATAGTGCTTTTACTTTTTTG